GCAGCACGGGGTGCCAGAGAATATGTACGCATTCTTTAGTGTTCTGTATCTTTATACTTCCTGAAAGTGATGGTTTATGCAAGCTATCCTCGTTTATTCTTGTCAATAGCGTGGTCGTCAGGGCTTGCACTATTTCCCACTCTCTCCTCTTCAATCTTCGCAATCGAAGACGTTTGGTCGAATTGGCTTTAGAAAGTTTTTAACATTTGGCTTAGAGATTGCAACCTGGTGAGCGCGGGATCCGACTTTAGATTATGCTGATGTGTATCGCCTTACTTGGTGAACGATCCGCCGGGTCTTTATGACATTTTTTTTTTTAACCCAAGGGGTCATTCTGCGATCGTTTGGCGGTTGACAAGCAGTCTAGGTATGGCATGAGCTTCGCACCACATCGAAGTGTAAAGTAACTGCGTCTCAGGAATGGGCTCTTTACATCTGCACCCGTGCTCAGTCTTCACGAAGTTGCGCCAATACTTGAACGGGTAGGTAGTTTCGTCTACTGTTGGGGTAGTAGACTGTGTTCTGCTGATGGCTACTATCACAACAACGTCGAATTTCCTTACTCTTCGTATCGCGCTAAAGCTCGATACAGCATTTGCCATCTGTGAGGCCACATGTGGCGTCGGTCGCAGACGTACTCATCCTATCGCTAAAGGGCCGCGTTCACATGATCGCTATGCAGATCGCTCAGTTTATTGTCTGTATGGCGAGACGAGTCTTGGCCGATTCGCGCATGGTAAGGCATGCAGTCATCCTCTCGCTTCCGGTAATAACGGTTTGCTTAAGGAGGATTGCTTCGTGTTGGGTGGCCAACATCGAGTTAATAGTAATGACGTTCACGACGTGGCCACCTTGGAGACATGCGAGTAGTTGCCCTCAACCAAAACTGGTTTTGCTGTTACCCCAGTTTGAGATGGCTCGGTTACACGTCCTTACGACGATGGCACCTGAGCCGATATTTACCCGGTCGCGTTATTCCGCTTCATCACAAGATACTTGGTGTAAGCAGATACGCGTGTTAGTCAGCCTCAAAGTACGGCGGAAAGTACATTCTGAAAGTCGCCACGGAAGTCATCGTACGGCCGCTGTTAGGAGATCCGCACGTCTTCAGGATGGGGACCCAAAGATGCGGAAGTACCCAATGATTTAACTATCTTGAAGACATGGCCCGGCAAAACCGAAATCAGTGGAAGAATTCTTGGGTACAGAAATGTGTGTTGATTCATCAACGTTTAATACTTCAAATATGGGAGCCATGGACGAAAAACAGATGAAACACGACGGGCGTGATCAGGAGAACCAACCCAAACCTATTTTGTTCTACTTTTGTCCCGAATTGAAACACACAAACACCCCCCACTTTGTTAATGTAATATCACATTGGGGGCATAGTAGCCGAAGTGTGTGTTACCTTCTACTATCTATTGCCAAGGTGGATTACTGACGCAGACTGACTCATCTTATCCGCTAATCTACATGGTTTTCATTCGGTCCATGTCTAGTTGATAACAACTGTTGAGCTTTACACACATATCCATACCAGTGGTCGGTTGCCGCCTCTAGTTGAGTCTCTTGGCAACATACTGATGATCGTTGAATGTTTTATTCCAGTTTAACTACAGTTAGATGCGTCTGGTGTGCGTGCTCCATCTACATTTGGATTAAAATACGATATTAGAGGGAATCATCTCTTGAGGGTCAGAATTCCATTCAGAATACTCTGCGATTAATGCGGCGGGGGAAGAGGTTGACGTTATCAAGTTCACGTGCTTTGCCGTTGCTCTTGCGTCACCTCATGCAGGCTCAGCTGCCTGTGGGTAAGATACTAGTTTATCTAGTGGTGACGGCTGTGAAACAAACACTTCTCTCACTCGTATTCTCACTAATTCCTCCCTTTTTATTGTGTTTGATATAGAGTGCTTATTTGCAGCTGTGGTAGGTGTAGCGCAAGCTACCAGTTGCTTTTTGACGATGCAAGAGCTCAGAAATTAGTTACCACAAAGGGGATAAGCAAAATCCGGGGAGCGACCCCGGCTTCAGCCTGGTGTAGAGAAGCTCCTCTCATTCCCCCGGAAGAGGTGCAGAAGTAATAATGTATTTCTGGATAAATATTTTTTTAATTTTTCCAACGCTACTGAGTACAACTGCTCCGTTGGTGCTACCGAGTTTCGGGGGTCATGCGTGTCCTTTCAGAATAGTCAACAAGATGAAGTCAGTACCCCGTTGGCCGGCGGAAAATGCTGCTTTCTCTTGTCTTCGTTTTTCGTCTACTTCGTTGATACACTGATGAGTGCCGCCTGGGTCGTCTCAATCTCACTCATGTGCAAGTGTTCCATTCCGAGTATCTCACGTAACATCATTGCTTCGTTTGATTCTTGTTGCTGACTGAGCAGCCGTTCAGTCCGATGGTATTCTGGGGGAGATATTTCTATCGTTGGAGTGCTTCGTTTGGCGCCAGGTTTCCGTTTTCGATGAAATCCCCTCCATAATCTCTTGATGAGGCAGGCGAGTAAAGGCCTGTACCAAATCCTCCCCAATTTCCACGAGTTGATCACCAAAGCCAGCTTTTACCTTCTTGTCTTTACCAACCAACGGCCGAAGGCGTTGAACCGCTTCATACGCTTCGACTGGCAGAGTTCTTCCTTGTGACAACCACCAAGCGTAGTTCTCCTTCCTTGCCCACTGAACACGTGCCTTATATAACTCCATCCATCCCTGAAGGAGTAACATCTCCGCGCTCATTTCTGAACCTGTCTGACTTTTATCTTCACCCTTTGCTAACATATGTCTAGCCCTAAGCTTCCCTGGAATCGAGAGTTGTTTTCTTTTCGCAAGCCGTCTTTGCTTTTCAGCCAATTTTAAGGCGTCTTCTAGCTCACCCTCCACCAATTGTTCCACAGATGGATCAACACTAGCCGTCTGAAGTGCTTTGTGTGTTTTTTCAATTAGCCATGGCTGCTGGAACACGAAACGCACTGCCTCATAATCTATCAAGTCTCTTGGTATCGGGTGCCGCCAGTCTGTCACACCCAACTGACTCGATACTAACCGACAGTACACGGCTGCATATCTGTCATGGTCTTCAGGTTGCATAAAACGCTTACGTTGCTCCCATATCCTTTGTTTCTCTTTTCAGTTCTTTCCGCACCATCCACTGGGCACACAGCTGAAGGAAAATCCAAGGTAGTTTTTTCAGAGTCTCCAGTAGCAGAGGTATCAGTATCGCCAAGCCTAATATACAGCCACTAATACTCCAAGAATATCGCTCGCAAAAACCTCGAATGCATGATAGCTGGACGGCTGAAAGAAGAGGATCCCAAGCGATCGGCCTCCCGAGCAAGTCATAGTCAAAATCTATTGCATACGTTCTTGTATCATAATATGGATCTATTACGTTCTCATGCGCATCATGTATAGTCATTTGGGGTGACGGCTAATTCTCCAAACATTAACTATTTCCTGCGCGCGTTGACAGATCTACAGGTGGTTCGAACTAGTTTGAAAAAACCCGATTAGTCACATTGCTCACGTGATGGGGTCATTTGACGCATAACTGAGGACCAGCGTACAGAAAACTGTTTTCATGACATAAGGCAGATTGTTCTGGTGAACAGTGCCATTCCAAGTGAATAGCCTGGCGACCGATCTATTTCCGGAAATAAATAATTAGCTTGTGTCAGCAATATGCCGGTACACAGCGCTAACGCTTGGCTGCCACGTGACCACAACCATTCGCATGTAGACTAAGCATGCTGCGAGGTTGCCTGAACCTATACGGATTCGAACCGGTGACCTGTGAATTTTAAAGGAGATACCACACCCTTTCCACCGGTTGCACAGTTTGAAGTATCCGGTTCCGCATTTGCCTGTCACTGTGGCCTCCATGTGGACAGCCACAAGATGCCCGCGTCTACCCATAGACCATGGGTAGCTTGCGCTGCACTATCCACAGCTCCAACCACACACCCCAATTCCAGTGCAAACTTGAAAACACCATCTAAGTACATAGACTGTGAAAGCAAATAAATACGCATACTGGACAGCAGAATGACAGCAATGAGCAAATCAAAAAGGTATATGAATCCTGAGCTACTGTTAACCTCCTCGGCAGGTTTAAGTGTAAATCCGAGGATATCATCCGACTAAGATCGAAAATAAAAGAGGGAGGAAGTGCGCAAAATGAATGAATTATGAAGGGGATAAAAAGAACTGCGAAAATAAAATACACTGTGTTAGATCAGGTCTCGTGCAATACGGAGAAAGCTAAATGGGAATCTCTCCAGTTCAAATGCGGCTAAGCAAATTAAACGCATCCGGTATCCGGTTCCGTATTTGGCCGTCAATCGGTCTTCATGGAGGCAACCATAGGGCGCCTGCGCACACACAGGGACTGTTGGGTTCAAATACTTTGCTTTGTTTTTGCTCTTGATTCGTTTATCCCACTCACACTTCTATTTGGCACTCATTGGCCCAGTCATGTGATCATGCGTTTGATTGACTGAATTTCGAACGCCTATTAATCTAACTATAACGCGCGTATGTACACACAGTTATTCCATACATACGTTCCGGTGCTGTTCTGGTCTGCTACTTTATCGGGATACAACAAATTAGCGTCGCGTGTTACCGATGTCTTTGATGGCTACTGCCCCTTCATCTTTCTGGACTAACTCTGCGGTTACCCCCAATGCAGGACGCTGGGAAGACTGGAAAATTAGGTTTTCAGATTAGATTTCTGTGTTACCGGTTCTCAATCCATCCGTGAGGCTAAAAACGGAGGATATCTTAAAGCTTCCGCGCTTGCACCTCGGCTCAGAGGGTCGACGTATATTTGATGCTCTAAACCTGCGGGAGAAACCCACGTTGACAGAGATCTTATCGGCGCTCGATAGACATTGGGGTGTTCGAGTGAACACCTACACTTCTCGGTTCAATTTTGCGCAGTTGAATCAGGCATCTGATGAATCGATGGATGCATTCATTTCCCCTCTTGTTTGTTCTGTTCGAATACAATAGTATTCCCAAGAAAATGGTGGAAGAAGCTATGCTAATACAACAATTGCTTTCTGGTCTCACGGATTTTCCGATCAGAAAGAGTCTCGTAATGGTGAACGCAAAAAAGCTCACATGGGACTGGGCCTGTGACGTGGCTCGCATGAAGGTCGCAGTCAGGGAACAAAACAAAATTTTCCTCTCTAACAGGAGCTTCTGAAATTGACCGTTTGGATTCTACAAGCTATCTGAAGCGATCCTCAGTTAGAAATAAATGTCACCATTGTGGAGGGTTTCGGTGTGGGTCTCTCCTATCCCTGCACTCCACAAGGTTGTTTATTGAAGGAGCTCCTTCAATAAACAACCTTGTGGAGTGTAGGGATAGGAGAGACCCACACCGAAACCCTCCACTTCGGTGACGGTCCCGGTGACCGTATTGGCAGAGGCTGAATTCCAAGTCAACCGCCGCCACTAGTGAGATTGCGCGTCGCAATCCAAGACACACGGCAAATGTTCCAAAAAAAAACCCGGAAATGTCACCATTGTGAAAATGCTGAACATCGTGAAAATGATAAGTCATGTTCTGCAAAGACAGCAATTTGCGGTAAGACCGTTCATTTTGCTCGGGATTATCGTTCCCGCGCCATTTCTTTAGTTGATTTTCCAAATGACTCCAGAGCTTCTCCGGTCACCACTGAACCATTCATATATGTCATTAATGAATGCGAACATCCACTTTCGTCTCCAACTCAATAACACGAACTGCCTTCATCAGATATTCGTCGTGTGTTTGGCAGCTAGAAACAAAACCGTTTGTCTAAACATGAAACTAGATTTCGCGTCATCAATCACAGTTGGGTCATATTGTTTTTACAAGCCGCATTTTAGCCAGTTAACTGTACATCCTTCTGCTTACACTTTCATCAGCTACTTAAATGGTGATGTCCACATACTCGGTTTGGTTTCCGTTTCAATGTTTCTTATAAACAGCAGGAAGCGTATAGTTGAAGTTTACGTCTCTAAAACTGATAGTAAGCCTCTGTTGGGACGTGATGCCATGGCCTTATTGAACTTATCACCATGCCTCAGCCGGATGACCATTTCCAGTGTCAACCTTTATTCGTTACGGTCCAGTTACCTAAATCCCTTTCTTTCGGATATTAGTATAGTCCCCAAAGCAATGCACCGCATTCGGTTGAGCAATGATTAAAAAACCGTTCAGCATTTCACAACCTAGGTCTGGCCAAGCGAGAGACATTGCCGCAAGCTTTGAAAAATATAGTCGCCGATGACTTGATAGAACACATACAGTGTTCTGAATGGGTTCATGCACTAGTTGCCGTTCAAAAGAAAGATGGCTATATTCGTCTATGCACCGACCTTCGAGCGCTTAATCGACATATAATTTTGGACAAATTCCCTCTGCTTTCTCTCGACGTTTCTCAAAGCTGGATATTCGCAGCGCATACTACAACATGCTACTGACTCCAGATTGCCGGCATTTGACTGCTTTCTACACGCAAGACGGTTTGTATCAATACAAAGTGCAACCAATAGGCCACAACAGCTTCGCAGAAATTTATTGCTACGTCGCTATCAGACCTCAAAGGATGTGTTGTTTATATACATGACATTTGTGTCTGGTAGTAACCCCACCTAACGTCAGGAAAACTACATAACGTGCTGCATAGACTGAATGAAGTAAATTCCCGAGTGAACAACAGCAAATGTCAATTCACTGTAACGAAGATCGAGTTTATTGGACATGTTATTTCTACCTCAGGTATTAAGCAGAACATTTGAGCCATTCTCGATTGTCCAAAACCATGCATTGTTGCACAGGTGAAACATTTCTTGGCTTTGTGTTCTTATTACCTACGACCTTTACCGAATTTTGCGACTATTGCTGGGCTGTTGCGGTGGTTTTTGCGCCAAAAGCAGGGGTTTCTTTGGGCTACTCAACAAGCCAATACTTACATGGCCATTGGAGCGTTGATTGAATCCAGTCCCACGGTAGACATCTTCAATGAGCATTGTCTAACGTTTTTTCAACGTATGCTTCAGACGTTGGCTTGGATGCAGTTATGTCCCAGCTGCATGATGGAGAGGAGAAAGTGATTGCTTACTCATCGTGCACCTTGTCTGATACTGAAGGAAATTATTCCACCGGCGAGAAGCAGACCCTCGTATGCGTCTGGACATGTGAGAAATGGCACTATTACATATTCGGACGTCGATTCACTTTGCGAACCGATCATTCTGCTCCTACAACGCTACTAAGTCGCGGTAACAAAGGCCAAAAGGCGGTACGCTTGAGTTGCTGGTACTCACATTTATTGAACTACGATTATGAAATAAACTACGTGCCAATGTGTATTAACCAACATGCAGATGCATTGTCGAGGCTCCCACTGTCCAGCGAAGTAGGAAAGTAGGACTTAGAGGAGGTAGAATTGATATCGCAGCTCTCAGACGGAACACCTACAATAATATTTGACCTGATACGAGGGCACACTGACAAAGACCCTGTCCTTGCGAAGCTCCGGGAGTATTTATCCACTTCATGGCCCAGTCTTACCAAGATCCAACCTGAGTTACTTCCATATTACACCCTACGGCACCAGCTTTCCACTGCGAAACTGCATTATGAGTTTGTGGTTCCTGCAACGCTTATTCCTCTGGTGATTGCATGTGCGCATGAAGGTCATCCAGGGATTGTGCGAACAAAAGCTCGGATACGACAATACTATTGGTGGACGAAGTTGAATTCCAGCGTCGAGGTGGTTACTTGGGAATGTTATGTCTGTCAACTGTGCGGTTGTGAAACCTGGTCGCTTAAAGCAACGGACCTCAAGAGGATAGTTACGTTCGACCACCGGTGCCTTCGTAATTTAGCTCACATCTGGTGGGAACACCGCGTGGGCAAAGAGCGTGTTCGACGCCTTGTTTATGGCACAGGAAAAGGAAATGAACCGCTAAGCACCGTTATTTCACGCACCAGGCTCCGATGGCTCGGCCACGCGTTACGCATGCCAGCCCACCGACTCCCGCGACGTGCGTTGTTTGCGCACCGGGGGTGTGGATGGAAGAAGAGGAGGGGT